ATATACTTATATATCTATATATAATATATATATATCAAACTTTATATATATTTATATATATGTATATATATCTATATTTGACAACTTTTTTTGTTCCAGAAATCAATCAATTCTCAAATTGGTAACAATTTGCCACCTTAATTGAAATCAAAATTGCAACTGACGCTATACTACTAGTACGATAGGGATAATATTATTTATTTCAAAGGAGTTAAGTTACAATGTTTGTACATATGGTTTGGCTCTCATAGCCGTTGTAGTGGTTCGGGGAAGTTTGATGGGAAGAAGTGGTCAACAAATTCCCTGTTGAAGCTTGGTCCAAGTGAGTCGACAATGGAGGATATACGCTGGGTCAATTCAGGCCGGTGCTGAAAACAAAACTGACACCGTCGAGTGTCACGTATTTGCTTTCTGATATATATATACATATATATATATATATATATATATATATATATATATAGTAGCACATGAACTGAAGCCGTCTGTTACATTCAAACATACAGATTTTATTTTTGTAGTGGCATCGATGCGGACGATAGGACCAAAGTGAAGAAGTGGCAAGACAATATTTTTGGCTGTCCACAGGCCTTTGTAGCTTCATGCGGGGGCAAATGCGTCTTTGTTCTGGCGGCAGTGTACATGGTCACAATACTTATGGCCCTGTCCTTGTTAATTATGATATGGAAAATGCGAGAGACAGTCCAAGTATATTCCTACTACACCAATCTATTATTAGGTATGCAGAACGACAGTCTGCGTACGATTCGTGGTTTGGTGTGTGTTTGCCATTGTTGTTTTACCCTTGCGTAAAGTCGGGTAACTTTTCTTTACGTTGTGGACGATTTCAATACCATAATATCCGTTGCAAACTCATTATTCATGCATTTATTGTGGCTTTAGGTACGTCGCTGCTCATATCGCCGATAGCGCAGTTTGGCCTATTTGTGTCCCTCTTCAACAACGTCCCGCAAATAGTCAAGTATTCATTGGCTGCCCTCAATGATGCCACTTCCTACTGCGTGTTCTTCGCCACGTATCTGCGCCAGTGGCAGCTTTACCGCATCCTGAGCTCACGGGAGCGTTCTGATTGGTATGAATCAATGCTTTTGGCTTTCTGTCTGTCTGCTGATAAATAATACACAAACAATACAATGTGCTATCAGCAACCCTAAACTATATTGATTAACCCCCATGTACATGCTCTCATTTTCCTAAATTGCAGCATACGATCCGCCACAAGAAAATTCGGAGTGCTGTATGCCATGTGTCTGCTTCTTTCTATCGGTGTCGCTGTCCAATACGAATTCACAGACTCTTGTTACCTCTGGGGCTTCACGATATACCACTATTTGCCGGGCGCCTATTTAGGTATGTGAAACCGTGTTATGCATTCACAACTCCCTGTTGGGGTGTTATTTACATACATTTGGATTATGAGGGGTTCCGAGCGTTTAAATGTAGATATTCATTTCTTTAGAGTACGAGTCGTAACTCCACTAATATACGTTCAGTTTAGTGACTATCTTTGCGCATTCGGTCTTAAACTTTCGAATTGCGGACTTTCATTTGTATTAAAGTTGATGTACTAATTTATATATGCTTTCTTCCACATCGTTTCTCTATCCTTATGTGTGGCCGCCTCTTTTCTGGCCTATCCCTTCAGTTACGACTGTCAGCTACTATTGCTACAAAGTTCGGGTATGTGAGTACTCTTGTGCGCGTTGCGTGCTCAAAATTTCTGTTGGCGATTCTTCCTAAGATACATGAATAGAATAGGAACGCTGCACACAAGTTCATGATAAGTTCAAGTCGTCTTTGCTTTTTTTCATATTTTGGAAACATGTCTACGCAATATTCATCGACTAAGCTACGTATGGAGGACATTTTTTGCCGATGGTACGACTCTTTCAAGAAAATGCTAGAGAAATAAATATTATTTGTGTTCCAGCGTGCGCAGGAGTACATTGTGCGTAGTACCTAAATCAAAAAATCAATATACCTTGCTTCTCTCAATATCAATTATGTACTGTGTATTGGCTAAACATCAGAAATGCTCGCACTACGCTCTGTCATTTTTGTTTTTGATAAATTTGGGCTGATCCCGTTCTTTCTTTCCAACGCATCTCGCAGGCCGTCTCTTACGTATTTCTAGATCAGCACGGTCTGTATCGCCTGCTGGCTTTCGAGTACATGTTTCTCATCGCGGGGCTAGTACTCTTGACCATGAGCACTGTCGGTATTGGCATCATGTACGCCCCCCTCTATATCTTCTCATTTTGGGTTATCGCTGCGGAGGTAAATATTTGTTTCAATCCGGGGTTGTTTTATAGTCGGTTTGTTGTAGGTCTTATATTAAACCTGTATTTATTATTTTTGTCGTGCCTCGCTCAACTTTTTTGAGACTTTTAACAAATATACATCATGCATAAATAATTAGCGATTTAGTATATTGGACGATAGTACTAGGTTGACTTTCTTCGTTGCATGAGTGATTTTCTCCCTGCACCGTGTTCATCGACCCATCAAAAGCACTTTCAGCCATTTATTTGCAATCGTCCGTGCAGCAGAGCCTTCCCTATTTATGTCAAAGCCAGTTTCATAGTACTCGTTTTTAAATACTTATTCTACATATATGCTACTTTACAGACGCAAGGTGAGAACGTTGTCAATAACATTCACAAGTACTACAAGGGAGTTCCGCTATTTGACGAGCATGCAATCCTGGCCGATGTATACACCATAGTGGGCGGAAGCCCGGTAAGTGATAGTTTGTTTGTATTTCTATAATCTTCTCGTACATTAATACAGCAATAAACTATGATATGAGAATCTACTCTGATTGCTCTTCGAATCTATCCATAAAACGAAAAAACATTCACAACATCCGAAGGCGGCTGCTCACGTTAGCCATGTGTACATAGTGATCAAGGCACTTATTTATTTCTCCACAATCGATGTTATCATGGCACAGGAGGTCGAGCTACTCATCCAAGATCATGAGCTACGAGCCGTCTTATTGGATGTTGCCAGGCAGAATTACAGTGATGAGTGGGTGCAGTTCCTATGCGATTTAAACGCGTTCATGCCGAATCTCAAGTACAACAAAGACACGCCTTTAGCACCCATACTGTCGATAGTCGCGACCTATGTTCAAACGAAGCAGGCGACCTAAACATAGAATGGAGTCTACGGAAGAAAGTACTGGAATTTGCCAAGGACGCAGAGGCTGGGAATAGCAGCCGAAATATCAACCAATCGAGTCGACCACAATCATGGACTGAGAGAATGTTTTTACCGGAAGACGGCAGTAGGTCATTGAAACTCTCCAATCTGTCGAACAAAGCTTTTTCAAACGATGCTCTGTTCGCCCGAGTCACCGTAGAAAGGGATGACCACTCAAGCCAAAAGTCACTCACGCCAAAAGAAAAAGGGCCTATTTTTGTGTTACCAACTGGGGTGATAGATGTGGGGGAAAGCGACGGCACAGCCAAGACGTCGAGGTCAATAGAGAACACTTATTTCAAGAGGCAAGTGAGCTGCAATGAATCGGCCAGTGGAGCACTTGAGCTCAAACCTAAGCTGTTTGCCAGCGATAATATCACGCTGGACTGTAACAACATCAACGGCTCGCGTATAATAAGCGAAGCGGAAGATGACTGAAGAAACGAAATCTAGAAGGATGAGTCAGGCCTCTAAACACGGGTATAGCCGCACGTCTATGTTCAAACGGAAAGTATCACACGTGCAGACCTGTGCGAAGTTGGGATATGCACTCGAAGAGACCGCCCAGAGTGTGTGCGTGCTGCTTAGATTCTCTGTGATTCTCGAGAAGTTTAAGGAACAACCTAAATTCATTTATATCACTGAAATGCAGAATCTATTGGCTAGAAACCATATGGTAAAGATACTGAAGGACACCTGAAGTCACAGTGGAAGAGCATGGTCACTTATAAGGAACGACCAACAAGTGTGCAGAGAACGAGGACCGACAAACGTCATACAATTTAGCCTACGAAACATCTCGAGTGCTCGCACCAAATGTGCAGACGATAGAGTATCAGCTGTAACACTCTAAACAATGCAAAAATTTAACGCACCACTAGGATCAGTCCTTTAGAATGTTGTTATGTCTGCACAATAACAGGGTAGACAGCGCACGAAGTACCAATACGCGGATGGTATAGCAAGCTACATCACACGGTGAGTGATCCGGAGCAAAAATCGCACGAGAACACATACTCGAAAGGTTGTAAACGCCACGAATCTCTGCAATCCGCTATATATATATATATATATATAATACTAATAATAATACACGCACACACACACACACACATATATATATATATATATATAATAATATATATATATACACACACACACACTATATATATATATAT